ATATACATATATGTATATATATACATATATATGTATGTAATATATATATGTATATATATAAGCATAGATATGTATATAATATATATATGTACATATAAATATATATATGTATGTATGTATGTATATATGTAATATATATATATATATATATATATATATATATATATATATATATATATATATATATATATATATATATATATATATATATATATATATATATATATATATATATATATATATATATATATGTAACATATATATATATATGTAACATATATATATATATGTAACATATATATATATATGTAACATATATATATATATATATGTAACATATATATATATATATATATATATATATATATATATATATATATATATATATATATATATATATATATGTAACATATATATATATGTAACATATATATATATATATATAATATATATATATATATATATATATATATATATATATATATATATGCATAAAGTTCTAAATGTATAACCAACAACTAATGACAGCATCATAATATTACTCACCTCTCTCAGTGACATGGATAGAGGCTCGAACACCATACACAAATGATTCTTGTGGAAGAAATGTCTGTACAGTCGAAGACAATGGTATTTGTCATCTGGATCAGCATCATTTAATGTTTTTAAAATGTTCAATTCCCGCTTGCCAGTCTTGTGCCTATAAATGTAAAAGGAAAAATGTAAAGAAGCTGAGGAGAATAACTGTGATAAATTCTTATTTTGTTACTGGATATATATATGCATCTTTTTATACAGACATCAATGATTTTTATCTTTTATTATGAAGATAATTGTATCACGAAAAGATGAGAAGTTCTAAGTCAAAATTACTTTAAAAAGAAGGGTGGAAAAAAGATAAAGAAAATTTAGATTTTCCAATTAATAGTTTTATCAACATAATTTAACATTCAAATACTTACATAATTTCATTATTTCTGATAATCTTGATAGCTACATCTTGGCCAGCTCTTGCAGCATCTCTGCCTCTTACCACATTACTGAACACACCTTGTCCAGTATAACCATAAACTGTATATCTATGGGAAGAGAAATTAAGTTTAGATGGAAAACATTATCAGCTGCAATAGCACCAGTCTTTATTAAACAAGTCACATAAATTTGGATAATTTTTATTTTTTTATTTTTATTTATTTTTTGGTCAGCTAAAAAGGTTTTTTGAAGATTCTTGCCATTGAATACTAACCTGGAATCAAGTACTTCACCAATTCGCACCCTGTAGTATCCCTCTGCATCATCCCAGTTATCCATCAAGTTTGGATTTTCTGTGCTACCAGTGTGGATGTCTCCCAGCTTGTCGACAGCAAAGTTGTCTCCAAACATATCCGAGAACATGTCCTTGTTCTTCCGGTCTTTCTCAGGAACCCCATGTTCACTGTTCTCCTGCTCATTCATGGTGCTTTCATCCTGTGTGTCCTCATTCTCCATGTCTTTCTTGTTCTCTTTATCTTCACTACTTCTACTGCTATGCCTACTGGTACTGGGACTTCTGCTCCTCCTCCTGCTGCTTCCACTCCTGCTTCTCCTCCTCCTAGAGCTGCTGTCACAACTGGAGCCTCTGGAGGGTGGGGATCCTGAGCGAGACTTTGGTTCTTTGGGAGAGGTAGCACCTTCACTTTTCATTTGTGATTCCGGTCTGCATGTAAATGAAGGCTGAATATAATACTTGTACCATATAAATGAACACAGAGCTTTAAAATAAAATAACTATACAACATTTCACTCTTAATTCATATAAAACCACAAAAGATGATCACTTGTAGTTTAGAAGAACAATTTTCTTAATTCTAGGCATCTAATCTTTAGTTGGCTTTGGCTACCCTATCACTATTAAAGCATCAAAGTGAAACATATAATCATAATGCAAAATAAATAAGATTTTACGCTTACAAGTTCCTACTTCTATTTAATCTATACGGGCCATTATGTACTCTAAGCAACTATGACCACACACCTTGATTGTGGGGCGGGTGAGTCATGAGGCGTGTTGGTGAGAGATGGCACTTCACTGCTGGCTGGTGTTACTTGAGTGGAATCTCGATCAACACCCAATTTCTGCAGATAAATATTACATTTTGTAAAATCCTATTAAGTTGTTTTCAGTTGCATGTATATATATATATATATATATATATATATATATATATATATATATATATATATATATATATATATATATATATATATATACATATCAGTTAAAAGGGAGGATGAATAAAAATATCATCATAATATTCATCTCCTTTTGACATTTTTCTATTACTTTAAAAAATAATCTACAGAATACATTAGAGTGGAATATTCACTGTGATTGTTACCAAATAATATAATTTTCTTGTAATTACACTTTACAAAAAAAGAAACTGTTTCATTTTCTTTATGACAATCTATCACATTTCATTATAATCAGTTTACTAGTAAACCAAAATCTTTTCTCACATCCTCAATACAACATGCAAATGAATGTTTACATTAACATTCCTCACAGATTGTCAAAATAACTTTAAATATAAACAGCACTTTTTAAATTGCAGTTGGCTGAGTACATAATACTTACTTTATACAGTTCTTCTCGCTGCTTTCTCATGCGCTCAATCTTTTGCTCCTCTTCCTCTTCATCTTCATCAAAGTCAATATCTCCTCCTTCTGATTCTGATGAAGATTCCCGAGCCTTACCAAATATAAGCTCTTTCTGTCTTTCTCTTTCACGATCAATTTCTCTAGTTCTACCGTAGTCAACATCTTGCCTGCAGGATGCAAGGAACCAAGACTTGGTATTTAAGAAGTAGATTAATTCTAAATACAAATTTTGGGATTAATGTCCCTTGATGAATCATAATGTCTCCATTAAAAAGATATATTAACATTTATATTTTGTTAGGAATGCAGCACTGAGCAACAAACAGATAAACTCGCACCTGCTTCGGTCTCTGTCCCTCTCTCTGTCCTTATAGCTGTCATCTCTGCGTCGATCTCGGTCTTTGTCTCTGCTGTCTGCTCTCTCTTTCAGTCTTTCTTCACGTAGCCTCTCACGTTCTTTCCTTTCCTCCATCCTCTTTTCCCATTCTCTCTTTCTGCGTTCTTCTCTCTCTTTCCATTCTCTTTCTCTCTGCTCCCGTTCCTGAAAAAGAGAGAAAAAAAATAAATAAAGAGAAAAGAAAAATAAAGATAAAAATAGGAAAAATCATGAAGAGCTAAAGGAGCTACTTGTTCATGGTGAATCACTGACACATGAGACTAACTACTTTAATCTGAAGATTTTCATTAAAAAATTAAGGACTTAGCAAATACATACCTTTTCTCGCATCTGCCTCTCCTTCTCTCTTCTCTCACGGCTTCTCTCACGACTGCGGTCAAGCCGTTCCCTCTCTTCAGCTCTTGACCGGGACCTCTCATGGGATGAAGCAGACTTCTCCCGGTCCTTTGTGGAGACGGCATCTCTGCGTGAGCCCGACTCTTCTCTCCTCTCCTTGTCCCTTCGCTCCTTCTCCCTGCGAGACTTCTTCTCCTTCTCTTCCACTTCACCTCTGGACCTAATGGCAAAGATTTGGAAAGAAAGGAAAACTCATTTTAAGTGACAACAGACACCTACTCATCATGAACACATGAGTAAAGAAAAGAAAAATGAGTGAAAATAAAAAGCCGCATAAGCAGATCCCAACAGCATATCTGAAACAGAATTAAAGCATTAAGAAAGCTGCTGAATTAAAAGAGTAAAAATTCAGCATCTTTCTGTGCCTCACTTCAATGATTAGGCATATTTTACAAACATATTTATCAATTTGCATCTCTTTCTATATGTGTATGTATATATAAACATATGAATAACATCAAAATCTTGTAAAAGAAACAAGGAGAAAATATTACAGATTGAAGTGTGGCACAAATTACAGATGCTTCCTCTTGTTTGAGAGGCATGTAACAACACTAAAAGCTCAAAAAATAACCAACAAGAACCAATTTTCAATGGTATTTAAAGCAACCTAACATATATATTATTGTAAGCTTCTGACTGCAAAATCTTTATGCTAAGAATATACTTTAAACTTGTAAAGTACTTCATTCAAACATAACATGATAGTATTCTCAATATTGCCTTACTGACTATCTGCATATATCTTATAAATTGAAAAATAAGGATTTGTTCCAATTTACAAGGCCACCACTGTGTTCATGAATAATATATATAGGTATTTCCAAAATGTTTATATTCAAGAATGTGGTATGTATCTTATTTCCTTCTCCAAGAAGAATAAGGACTGCTATGATTTTTAAAGACAAAGAGATCTTAACCAGATCCCAAGAACATCTAAACCCAAAACCACTTCTAAAAACATCAATAATAATAACAATAGCAATAATAATAATAATAAATAATAACAGGAGAGACCATACAGAAAAAAAATAAATCTCTGTAAACTTTACTGTTACAAAGATATAACAAAAATCACATTTTCAATTCATGAATGACCATTTCACCTGTAGAACTGCAGAAAAAAAGAGAAATATGCTGTCTAATGCAAGCCTATAATAAATGTATAATGGAATCACACGTCACAATGAATACACACATGGTTTGTCTTCAGCACTTCAGAACCCTACAAAGAGCCTGACAGGTTGAGGATTCCATATGGTTAAACCTAAGCTATTACAACACATACAACCGTCACACGCAAAACATCAACAAAACAATAATCACATCTGACCACAATGTAAGAAAATAGATAAATAAATCAATTAAAAAAAGTAAATAAATAAATATGCAAGACCTATCCCTAGAGCAGAACATAGAAATAGACCTTCTCTGAAACTGGCAACAAATGAACTTAAATCTGTATCAAGAAATTTTCTGTTCACATTCACAATAGCAAAAACAGCAACACTACATTTCTTTTTGAACTGTTCATTTTTTGTCATAAGAACTCTTTACCTTATGAATTATAGAAGATTAGCAACCTCAAACCTTTTCATATTTTTGAAAAAATAAAAAATATATAAAATCTATTTCATCGTTTACTATTCACTGTCAGGAAATAATGTTTTCTATATTTAATCACCTTGCCTCCAACAAAGCAAAAATGTTAAACTAGGACAGAATATAAAACTAAGCAAATGTTTACGAGATAGTATCATTAATAACTATTATAGAGTCTACTAGTTTTACATAAATGTTACAAAGAGACAGTAAAAGTAAGAAAATGGGAAAGAGAATTATGAAAAGAATACGAGACAGAAACGAGGACAGAGTAGTTGAGTAAAAGAGAGAAAGAATAGGAGGGCATGTGAGGAATAAGTAACAACAAGGGTATCATTGCAAAATATCGGGAAAACAACCAATGAAAGCATAATTCTTCTGAAAGGTATCTTCACAGAGACGGAAAGTACATGTAATGTTGAGTCAATATCCCCATTATTTTCAAATATATCATTTTAATACAAAAGAATTAGGGAGTGGGGGGGGGGGGGGGGAGGCAGAGAGGAAGCTGTCAAAATGCCTTCCATATCCAACTTATAAACCTACTGCTGTCAGAAATACTCTAAAAATGAAAGTGTATCAGGATATGGAAATATTACTGATGTATACATTCATAGAATCATATTAGCTCTCACATAGATTGACAAACATTTGCCTGAATGTTAATTAAAAATTCATACCCAGATTTATTCTAAAAACATATACAACTAGCAGCATTATGATGGCAAAACTTTGCATTCATTTATTAAATTGGCTATTGTCTATTTTGGTGGAATCTAGAATTCGTTCTTTGTTGCATATCCATGTGGCTTTGGTGATTCAGTTCTATATGAAAAAAGGACAATTTAATGATTTCCTATAAAAATAAGTATATATATCCTTATATGTTCTTTTCAAAAGCTATTTTTTTTTCAAAAGTTTACTGTCAATTGTCTTATAATAACAAAGGCACTATCGACCGTCTATCACCTTTAAAATCTGGCCCTGTAAACTAACACAACTAATACACTGCTCTGCACACAAGTTTTACATATACATATCACATGAAGTTCCTGAATATCAAGGAACAAGCAACAGTTGAAGTTTAATTCATATATTTTACACAAGTATCCATATATAAGTAAGCAGCAGTAGTTGTGTCCAAGTAGTGGGTGAATCCATAAGACCTAAGTTAATTGAAATATTCAATGTTCACCCTTTCAGACTAGAATTAATAATGACAGAATAGAATGTATGGGAAAACTGTTTCCATAAAAAAGGGCTCCCTTTTGGTTATATCCTTTAAGTATGTAGGGAACTGTTTAGACTAATGTTAAAAAAGTCCCCATTTATGTGTATTACAATGATATACATTTCATAAAAACTTCTGAAACTGTAAACATGGTTCCATGAACATCAGATAATTTACATTTGTTTAGACTCTACCTCTTATATACTTTATATCCCATTTTAACCCATTCATGTCAGATAATTCTGTTGGGTCTTGGTAAAACTGTCACTCATGGTGGGTGTTGTCCTATCACATTATGTGCAATTGAACCCACTAGGTGGGGTGTGCCAAATATTTACTTGTTTGTTTGGTATGGTTTATATCCCCTTTTTTGCTCCATTTCCTCAACAACCCTTTATATCTTAAGCAAGAGAAATGACAGCAGGATCAATGTACCATTCCTGTAATTCTCATTTTTCACCTTGAGCGGCCTGGCTTGAATGATGCCAGAAAATCCGCCATGAGTGGGTTAAATCTACTACTATATAAGGAAGACATGAATGCATTCTCATAAAAGAATAATAAAAAAGGACAAAGACTAGCAACACTACCTCAAAAAAATTGAAACTACCAATTGAAATGAAAAATTAAATTATTTGTCAAACACCATGTTAATTATTAATGAAGTTATTTTCAAACTTTTGGAAGGTCACTTAAAACAAAGATGTACTGTATGCTTGCATGTTCTTTCTTGTTTCAGAGGAGACATATTAATGTCATACATTAGTCTCAGATCCTGATGTGCTGCCTTGCTGTTATACCATTCACAAACTCTTTTCATCTATTTAACCCATTGCCTCCAGGAGAAAATGGGGTTCACTTGGCCTCCGCTCTGAGGAATACGCATGGCTGACTGGGCTTGCCTTTGAGGCAGTTCGAAGATATGGCCAGTAAGAAGCATTCTCCAGCTGCATCGTCAAAATGATACCATTTCTTTTAAACATCATTCGTACGCAAAACACACTTTTAGAGGCCAATTCAATAAATACGGTATGTACACTCTGTGTACATAATAAAACATCCAGATGATGTAGCCATCACACCATGAAAAGATTTGGCTTGAGGGGCGGGTGATGTGAACATGACTTACCACAAGTACACAAACCTCTTGGAAGCTGATTCAACTCATTTGGCATTTATGATAATGCACATCAAATGACAATTATGGACTGGAAATTACCTAAAAAAGCTAAAAATGCTTATACAGAAAAAGAGAAAATAACATTGCAAAGGAGAGTCTTGTCACCGCACACAAGTGTCAGCATGTGCCCAGCCTACAGAGTGACTGATCAAGTAAACCTAAAGACTATTTTGGACTGATCTCGTTAACAACAGTGAAGGTTAGTTACAGGTTCACACCAGCAGTAAGAGAGTGCCATGTTTTGTTGCATGACATCTTCCATGCATGTAATGCAGACATCATGGTAACATGATGTGAATGATGTGGAGCCCAGAGCTACACCTAAGTCTGCTGTGAAAATGAACCACGCGTCATGCAGAGGCTGAGTTAATATTGGCTGCACACAACATATGCTGGCTTGACCTCCTACTTGCAGCAGGTGCTGAAGCCCCAACCATATTTTTCAAATTCTGAGGCCTCCCATACCACTAAAAGTCCAAGTCTTTCCTCTAGCTGCAAATTAGGTCACCATTTTACTAAATTGTGTTCAAAAGATCAATGAAAATATCACATCTACTCCTTTTTGACTGTGCAAATAGAAAACTTGTACATCATTACACACTGAATTACAATCGGGTGACAAAACCAATTTGAAAATACGTAATGTCCATTGGAACATATTCAAACTACCTACAACTGACTACTTGGTTTTAGAAATTATAGTTCCCTTGTAAAAATATTCATATGACTGTTCACAACTGTGTATGTTACAGGTAATGCTAGCCCAGATATGTAACAAGAACCTATTACAACAGGCTTTTCACTATTGTATTAGCCATCACTTAAAAGGTTATTAATAAGTTAGGATATCGTCACACTAAAACCTGCTAAAAATTATCAATCTACAGATAATGTGGTTCTAGCTTTCTTTACACAAACATGGTTCCATAAGCACTTAGTGACTAAGGAGTTATAGGAGGCCTACCTGATCCTAACTGTTTACTTGATTCCTTGACATTATCCTCAGTATCATTATCATTTTTATTACAATAATATCAATAGTAAGCACAGCAATAAAACTAAAAACACCCAAAATGCACAATGTCAAGATGTGGTAAGTCTAATGATTTGCCTTTATGGTAACTAATCACTTGTTAACCCAATGTACACTGGCTTTTTCGGTAGCAGTGCAGTCTGCCAAATGGTTATCTCTTTATGGGACTCATCTATAGGGATGCCATCTGCGGCATCGGTGCTATGCTGCCATGGCACCATAGTAGATGCCACCCGCAAACAAAGGGTTAAGCTATATATATATATAAATAAAACCTATAGAGGATGTTAATTTCTGATTCATTTCATAATTTATTAACTATAATGATGTATTCATCCAAATCAATCAATACTTCAACCTATGGGAAAATATATCTTTGGCTTACTTGGACCTACTTCCATAAATAACCACATTATACCTTCATATTTTTAAATGTGTTTACATTGGTAAGGGAGGTAAATTAAACATTTATTTCACCAGAAAAAACAACAACACTGAGATGAGATAGGGCTGGACAGAGTAGGTTAGGTAAAACTATGAACTGATTGGGTAGTGTATATTAGACTGGATTTGGCTGGGTTTCAATAAGTTAGGGTAGGTTAAATTGAAGTATGATGCTAGGCTATGTCTCCACCTAGCCTAGTATAGGTTCAACCATTGTAACTAGTTTTACTAATCAATATATATATATATATACACACACACACACAAATAACTGTGCCATACAGGGTACCTGTCTTTGAACGTTCTGGTCCCTGCTTACACAGACACAGGCAATACGTTCTTAGACACCCACACACATTAAAATCATCAATCACATCCTCTCAAATAATCTACTCACTACTGCTCTTTAACCATACTACTACCAATCAATGTTTCTAGTTAAAAAGGTATGGCCAGTGAAGACAAAAGGAATGGACAATTTATTCACAGGCAACAAGCACTGCAGTTTAGTTCTGATAAGAAGTATCCAGACATTCTATGCAGCAATAATGATCAAACCAGCCAGACACCAAAAAAGACTAATGAAAATGGAAGTATATGAAAATCATTGACCTAGTATGAGGACAGATTATCAATGTGATGATGTGCTTCCACCTAATCCATTTAATAACACAATAATTATGATACTAATACTGAACTATGAAATAACTTCTTTATATCTACCTTGCTGAGGCCGAGACCAATTATAACAAAAGATGTGTCTTGGATTACGGTTTCTAATAACTACCAGTCTACATGCAAAATGTTGAATGAATCCCAAGTCAACACACCTGAAAACTTGTACCAACCAAAGATAAAAAGCCTCAACATTGGTATTTCTTAAACCAGCCAACCAATGCCTTAGAAAAAAAAGTAACACTTAGCATCCCATTCCTGCAGACTAATAATTTTGCTGATTATATTTCTGAACAAAATATAATTCTACAAGTAATTTTCTTCTGTCTATCTCCAGAATACATATAATGTGTATATAACTAAAAAAAAAAAAAGTTTATATACATGCATATATATATATGTGTGTCATGAGGGTAAATAATTCTATGTACATTTACATGTAAGGTCTTTTTGCCAAACTTTATGTAAATGTTGATAGCCTTCTTCACTGTAAAGTTCTTATAATATATAAATGTATGTATGTATGCCTGTATGAATAGGTGTTTAAAAAACAACTGAATAAAATCAAATTTCTGATGTCTTGATGTTAGTGTATAAGTTTGTAAAAGTACATACTATCAGCCTTCTTTTATCTCCCATTATTTAGGCTGTGTTGATAATGGTGGAGAATGAGGACCCTACAGGCCATTACCCTTGCCTGGGTACTTACGCCTCTGTAGACAGGGCTGAGCTGGTGATGGATCAGCTCCATACTAATCCTGTAAACAGTGAAGCGCGCAGCCAGTAATTAATGGTATTTCTCAAGTATTTCTTTTTCTTTATGTAAGAGGTACTATGATTCATTATTACTTTGGGTAAAAAAGGGAAATTGATATACTGGAACTGAGGTAAACCTCCACATATGGTGAATAACTATCTTTAGTAGCTGAATGAATGATTAAAAATAAATAATAATAATGATGATGATAATAATAATATCAATACCAATAATAATAATAAATAAAGCATAACAATAAATAACTGAAATAAAGATCCCTTCAAAATCTGTCAAGTAATAGATACATATTTCAAAAAGTAATTTAGCCTGATTTTCATCCTGACCAAAATAATTATGTAACACATTCATAGTAAACATCTCATTCAAGCAGAAAGAAACTTTGATTAGAGTACATCAGACCAATGAGCAAGTTCCACTTTTTTTTTTTTTTTTTTTTTTTTTTTTTTTTTTTTCATTTTTAAATTCAGTCTAGAAATGTTAAAAAGTTTAGTGATCATGGCAGATATTTCTCCAGGTTTGCCTACATGTTTCATTCTGGATTTGAGGATGGGATGAATCGTCGTCCAATAAGTATGATTATATGACCAAATAATTTCTAGCAGTTAAACAGGAAAGTACTTAGTGTTCAAAGTACATATTTCACAGAACATTGTCAGTACCTGGTAATACTTTACGGCAACCAGCCGGGGGCTCAGTCAGGAGCTCTTAACCACAGCAGAGAGTCAACCCAGGGACCAACCGCAGCTCCAAAACACTCAGGGAAGATAGGCCCGCTAGAACTCTCAAATATATGTCATTTACTGAACCTTAAAACAGTCTTCTGACAACATATTTATATACCACAAAACAGCGATAAAGGTTAGAAGAAAATAAGAGGTAAATTCTGAACCATTTGCACAACCACAGTCAATGCCCTTTCCAATCATTTCATACTTCCCCTTACAACTTTGAAAAGATTTCAAGGTAAACACTACAGCTCCTGAAAACGTGCAATATGCCATTCACAATTATGTATTATATACAGCTTTACTAAAACCTATATTACAATAACAGACAACCTAGAGAAAAGGAGTTAACTAGAAATGGAATTACAGTACCACACCAAATGTTGAGAAAATTAAAAATATGTCTGATAAACCTATACATCAAATCAGACTTGTTACCAGTTTCAGGAAAGTTTTCCTATACACGTTTATATTTTTGAGTCTTAATAAAGAAAATTTAATGTACATATAACAATGTCTCCGCTACATGAATTTAAGTACCTGCTTCTTTTCCGCTTTTTGGGCCTGGACTCCTTCTCCCTCCGTTTCTCCTTTTTCTTGGACTGGCCATCGTCTGAATCTTCAATTGTCACAACGTCACATTCTGGCTTTTCAACTGCAACTGCTGGCACTTGCTTTGGCTCCTCCTCTTCCTCTACATCACTCATATAAGCTCCTAAGCAAGCCTGTAGTGCTGCCTAATAAAAAAAAAAGTGCTAGAATTAGTCACGGTGAAGTCAAACATTTATAGTTGATAAAACTTCAATGCAGTGGTAGCTTAGAAAATTGTCTTGTTCTTCCTTAACAACTACTGAACACAATACCAGATAATGACACCTGTTCACCAATATCACAGGGTTATACGCTGCATATCAGAGAATTCAGAAATCAGAGACGTGTGGCCAGGAGAGGGAAAGAACAAGAATATATTTCCTATTTCACTATTTTCACACACAATCATATAGACTTTTACACTTAATTTACTCTGATTAAATAGCAGCTGCAGCACTAGCCTTTTCTCTTGTCTTGCACTGTCTATCATAATATATCTTTGCAATCAGTGCATGAACGGACTGACACACTGGAGGGTAAAAAGAATATATAAATGCATATATCTTAAAATATATAACAGCACTTCAATTAAGAATGTAGATATTTTTTCACTAAAAATACCTATCCAAAACCCATTTCTTACTTTTCTTAATGACAAGTGAAACTGATATAATAATTAACTGACCCTATTCCATGTTGCTAAAGAGAACCAGAAAGTCCAATAATTAATATCAAGGCTAACAAGATAATAATACATATATAAGAGAGCACATAACTGAAAACATTCCACTTACTTTAAAGATGAAATTAACTCTCACAATAACACAATAAAATGAAGAGATTTTACCTTCTGCTTCATAAGCTCTTCTAAGTTTAGGTCTTCATCGATGTGGAGAAAATCTGAAGAATCTAGGCAAAACTCTTCAGCCTTTCTTGATTCTTCTCTTGAGTTATCTTCACTTGCCTGCACTACATCTTCTTCACTACTTGAAACAGTTACTGGCTAAAAGATCAAAAGAGAGGAGAATAATATGCAATCTAAAGAGAAAAGAATGTTCTTGACACTCGCATATCATCCTGTAACAAATATATAAATAAATATGCAAAAATCTGCTGCTTTTAGAGAAAAGATACTAACTTCCTCTTTACTGCCATTATGATTATTGACTACAATCTTCATGGACTCTACAATGCCGTTCCCAGCCGAAGCTCTCAGAATTTCTACATCTCTTCCCCTTTCGCGAGGCTGCGTTCCAGGGTTATTCACCGCTTCCAGTCCAGACTCTAGAAGTTCATCCACGAGTTGCAGATCGCTTCCGTCTTCTGATGCAGAACTCTCACTCTCGGAGTCCTTGTGTCTATGTTTGGAGCGATGTTTTTTGTGCTTCCTGTAAAGATCAATAATTTTAACTTAATATCCCATAAAAATGTTGGCTATCAAGGTACCATATGTTGCATTGTCCAGAGAAAGAAAAAAAGAAACATTTAATTAAAAATCATACAAAGTTTATACAATCCCTAGACTAAAGAAATTTTGGGTACTTGATCATTACACAGTTGGTCTATACTTCTTCATGGTACAATACATTCATGCCTCATGATATATACAATTTACAGCAACAACTACAAGGTAGAGTAAGCCCTGCAATAATGTAGTTCTAGATATGTGGGTACTATATGAGCAATCTGTTCTTCCTTCTAAATATTGGAAGGTAACCTCCATCATTAGCACTACAAACGAACTACAAAGGAACTATCAAATAAATATGAGCTAGAATAAAACTACTATCATCCTGACTTTTGTATTACCTTTCTTTTCTGGATGAAGACTTGTGCCTATGTTTATGCTTGTGAGAATGTCTCTTATGCTTCTTCCTGTGTTTGTGTTTTCGATCTTTTGATCTTGATCTATCTGGTTCCTGACCTCCTGCCTTCTGCTCCTCCTCAGACATGCTTGATAGACTTGGGTCCTCAGAACTGTGGAAAAAAGACAATAAACATATAGAAAAAGACCTTTAACAAGTTCATCATACAACAAGCATATAAAATGAACATGTGCAATAGAACTAAGAATGCAAATGAAGAAAATGAGATGATAAAGTGAATATATACACTGTATATATAGAAAGCACTATCCATTCAAAGCAATAAATAAAATCTCACTATTTCCTTAGTCTTATACTAAAACCTCTATACTATAAATACATTATTTCAAATCTTGAAGTTAATGTCTTCACTCACAAATGAAGTAATTTAACAAAATCTTTATGTACATTTCCTGTTTCAAAATGTTTAGTTAGTACTAGGGCTACCTCCAAAGAACTATTATATTCTATATTTTAAAAAGTCAATGACACACTCAATCATGATAAAGAAAAGAAAAGAAAGAAAGAAAGAAAAAAAACTAACACTGAATATTATGCTCAATAAAAACACTCCATCCTCTAAAATACATTAAATGTGCACAAGGCAGTACTCATTTTTGACGGAAACTTCAAAATGGGCATTGCTCTCCTAATTTGCCTATCTTAAGAGGCTATTCTTTGGGGCAAAATCAAAAATAAATATAGTTAAAAGACCAAAATCTTTGAAATCTACTGAAAAATCACCAGTCACTCTCCCCTTACTTTACTTTGTGTTCAAGAAGACTAACTGCATAAAGACATAATTCAAACATTGTGATTCAGTAGGAAAATGTTTCATATTGGGGAAATAGGGAGCAGACTACTACTTTGGAGGTTCTTAACCCATTGCCGGCGGGGAAAATGAACAAAAATTAGGAAAAATGCTATGCCTATTTTCTATATTTTTTGTGTGAAATGTCTGCCCATAGATGGCTCTGCTAGTGCCTGATTTGAAATGGCGGGAAAATGTATTTTTCACTAGTGCCATGAATATCGATGGTGTTATTTTTATCATAAACATAAACATTATGATTATTATAATGTTTTTTAACATTAGTAACAGCAAAATAAGATAACGTAAAATATTTCGTAAATCAAAGAAAAGGGTAAACGGGCAAGACAGGCGGTACTCGTAACTGGCTCAATGGTGATTTAGTACAAGTGTAGCCATCTATGTGTAAAAACAATCAAACAAGTAATCTCAGTGTCATGGCATGCCCGTCGGCAATGGGTTAAGGCTCCAAACCATTTGTTTTATCACTCAACCTCCATAGTATTTGGGAAAAGGTCCGAGCTAAACCCAAACCAAGGCTAACCTAAAATCTTAAACCTCTGATATTCTTGAAGCATGCTTCAAAAATCAGGAATCAATATGTATATTCAAGTGTATCAATATATAAATAT